TACCTCTGGTGCAAATTACTGACCTCTGTCATCATTTTAAGGGGGGGAACTTGCACAATCGGTGGCTGACTAAATACTTTTTTGCCCCACTGTATATATATGTAGACTTAAAGGATGTGTTGCTAACATCTTGATGCCAGATACCACAGCTCTCCTTCAGGGTTGTTTTGGCAGAAATCAACTTCAATATTAGGCATTCTGTCATAATATTATGCCTGTTATGAATTATGCCACACAGGAACCAATCAAATGCAAGGTAAATAGCTGTCTCTCTGTCTCATTTTGTTCACAATATTGTACAATATTTGAAAGTAATGTAAAGCTCTGCCATTATGCACTTTTACATTGTTTAATATGCAAATGCAAACATATGCAATAAAAAAGTATGCACTGTAAAGTAGGTCACACCACTAACCTAAATACATCTGCAAGAAATCTAACAGTTGTCCAAACGGAATATTATTGTAGGTAGCAGCTGTAACAGTAACAGAAGTAACTGTACCTAGATAAGTGAGAGTGCCATAAAATGCAACTCCTGTACACTTGGTTCCAATTCTATTTAAAGTGAATACTATTGACTTCCAACAGTTTTTATAAAGATTGGCATAAAACTGTTTCACACAGGTGACTCATCTCAGCTTTGAAAGAGCTGTGGGGTCCAAACAGTCTAATAAAGTTTGTGCTTTACTTTAGTATGTGAAATTTACTAAACTACACCATGATTTGTACAGCTTATAGCTGCAACCTGCAAACCAAATCTGCAAATGTTAGCTGATAATTTGTGTTCACATATGTCACCACTGGCTCCTAAAACACACCTGCCTACAGCTAGGTTTTTATAGCCATGAAAATTGGCAATACAGTCTGTGACACTCACAGAGAATCTGGCTGTTTAATGACTCTTAGCTATGGTGCATTTTGAGGATGTTTTAATGTTATTTAAACTGTTACTTTCTTTTGCGCTTTAAAAAGCCATTGCCTCGGCCTTGTGACTGCATAATTCCCAACAGAATTGTGGGAAAAATGGGACATAATAGGAGCGAGAAACCAG